CAATGAACACATATCCTCCAATTTCACCACACCCATTGCGAGGTATATAGCACGCCGTATTTGAGATGTCCTGCATAATCCGTCCCACGACCAGCACGATTTACGACCCATCTACGAAATATTACCTTTTTCCACCCCTCATTCCCGGCTCTTTCCCCCACCCTTGCTGTCTCTTCTGCATGCTTTGAGCCATACCTTCGCTCTGTCATACTCCACCAACATTGAACTCTTTCTGCTTATAATTCCTAATCTACCCTCTGCGTACTCTTACTCATCATGCGTCCAACCCAAGCCATCGCTCGCCCTCTCACCACTCGCATCATGCAAGGTGCTGCGGGACGCTACACGCGCTACCCGAACAAGCTTCACTCGCGCAGCATCATCACCTTGAAAGACCACCTGGTGTGTTTCGCCTGTTTTCACGTACCGCGTGGATCACGCTGACTACTGGTACGCGCAGTTCTTCTCGAAGGCTACGGCCTCTGGGCCGGGCCGTAACGGCAACGTCAAGTCTTTCGGTGATGCCCCCCTCGACCTGAAGATTTCCATGCCGAAGAATGCCGGTGGAAAGGGTGACGGCCAGAACCCGGAGCAGTTGTTCGCTATGGGCTATTCATGTGAGTACAGACCTCGTATTCAAGTGGGATGCACTATCCTGACAACGTGCAGCATGCTTCCTCGGCGCCCTGCAACTTATGGGCTCGCGTGCGGGCAAGAAAGAGCTCACAGACAAAGCTCAGGTTCACGCCACTGTTTACCTGGGTCACCCGACCGACCCGAATCTGGAGGGCTTTGGCCTCCGCGTCGAGCTTACTGTCGAAGGTTGCGAGGACGACGCCCTCATTCATGCCGCGCATGAGGTATAATTTACTGTGTCGGAACCTGTACCTGGTGCTGACTTTCCTTGTCCAGTTCTGCCCTTACAGCCGTGCTCTGAAGCACGGCATCGACGTCAAGGTCAACAAGGTCTAAGCCCTTGAGGATTTCGTCGTGTTATCATGCTCTGTCTCCCTTCACTGTATCCTCCCAATACCCATTTATCCCAATCACGCCCATTTAACGAGGCTTTATTGAACTGCCTAGATAAATTATGGCAACCTGAATATACAAAACATGTAAACATACACGCCTTGCATACTTGTGTATTTACAGAACTATATATTGTCGCGTTTCTCTTCGTGTTTTGCTCGGTTGGGGTTTCTTTCAATGGTTTGCCTTACCTGCTAAACGCCACAAAGCCGAGGCCGCCAGCTTCGGGTAGGCGCCTAAAATACGCCAACGTTTTCTGGATCCTTTCATATCAGAGGTATATAATTTGTGTAACTTAAACACCTAAAATTATATGTGGCAAGAAGCAAGAGGACAAGTGCGACATGCGTGCCTGCTACAGCAGACACCGAGGCAAGGATGCTTTTAGTGGTATCACGGGCAACCTCAGAGAGTCTCCGGGATCTGTATAGATCTAAAGCACCATGTGCATACTTCGCATTGAAGTTGGAGAAATCTGGGGCTCGTCAGTGCAGGAAGTATAAATGGTATGGGCGGTAGATACAAATCGGTACCTGTCAGTACTGGGCAGCACGCACTTGGGGACTCTTCGATGCACTATAGAGTAGGGTTACCTTTTTATTCATCGGCGTATGCCTGGCTGACGTCTCGGAGACTATTCAGTAGAGTACAGTGTCAGCACAGTACGGAAGGAGAGCTGACAGAAAAGATTGAACACGCCATGATCCGGCGATCGGCCAAAGGTTTCGTGAACACGCTTTCTTCGCAATCAAAAACATTCCATAAAACTAAGACTATTGGCTCTCTTCTCCTCAAGAGAGCGGCAATGACGGACCCTCGGTGCTTCAAGTGGAAAAGGCCTAGGATATGCAAACTCATGGAAAATGAGGACTGCACATCAGGTATCGGGCTCCTACCTCTATGTTACTGTGTTGCGATTCTATTTCAATGCGCCAATACGCAGCTGTCCTCACGGATTCGTGGATGTTTTGAGTGCTTGCGGATCCGTATTAGGAGCGACAGGTTCGGGAGGTGGAGGTGGAGGTGGAGCCTAGGATGTTTGTCATACTCTGAGCGCGAGATCTTCAGGAAGAGACGCGAGACG